AAGTCTAAGGATTTTTGAAAATTCTAATAATATAGCATTAACGAGTGACTTTCAAAGTTCAAAAGCACGAATCTCCTTTATAAAAAGAAAGTAAGCTCATGCTTATAGAACTGCTGCCTTTGCCAAGAGCCTCGGTTCGGTAAATAGAATGTACTACCAGTTTTATTAAAAAAAAGTGGCGCTTGAGACCCAGATCTTAAAGGGTTATCTTTTAAGATCTGTGTCTGGGATTTCTGTCTTGTCAATCTAATTGACAATTAGGTGATCATCCTCCTGTGCCTGACACACGCCGTCGACTTTTTGGGTCTAACGCATGCCGGTTTCCTCACGATGTTCACCGTAAGAATGTTAAATGCTGGGTTCATGAAAGCCAACTCAAAATGGCGTTTTTGTTATGAAAATAATAATGTAGAGGTAATGAAAATCGATGTAATTATAACAATAGCTGATAGAACAAAGTATTATAAATATAAAAGTCTATTTCAAAGTCAACAGCCGAAAATCTAGCCTTTAGACTAACCTAATACAATTGACACAGGATTTTAGTTCATTGCCCCCAGCACATTACGAGTTTAGACATTTCTCTAAAATATTCGCAAACTTTTAATTGAATTAGATCTGATGTTTATAAAACCTATTTTATCCACATTTATTTTGTATAAACTGTTTATTCTATAAATTTGTTCTGCGATGGTTACATTTTACAAAGCAGATATATATTTTTTTACGCTTCCATTTACTATTCGCCTATATATAGTATAAGAACCTATTCTTAACTTACTTTAAAAAATACGCTTACCCGTTTATTTTATATCTGATATTTTTTGGTGATAAGTATTTGATTATCTATATATTTATAGGCTTACAAAGATGTGTGTAAGATTAAGTTGGTGTGTTTGTCCACAAATACCTCGGTAATTATTATATCGAATAGTTTTTGATTTAAGTTAATTATAGCGAAGTTTCATAATCATAGTTTGAGATTTCATCCATTCAGTCCTGGATACCCACAGGTATATATACTATACAGGTCTTTGGAGTCGATTTAATTTTTCAAAAAAGAAAAAAAAATGTTAACAATATTTTTCTAAATATTATTAATACTTAGTAGGTTAGGAATATTATAAATATTGTATATTTGTGTGTTTTTCTAACGTTTATCTAATCTCGAATTCAGAACTTTCGGGTTCGACGTACCGAGCGTTAATCAAGATAGCTATGTATATGATAAGAAAATTTAAGTGATTCTGTCTACAAAAAATCAAATTTAAAATATCGTAAAAAAAGTCATTAGTTTTTTAAAATGGTTCTTATACCTATCAGTACTATATATATACTTAAATGTTCGCGATAACAAGAAAATTACAATTCAATCATGAGGTTCGAAATTTACCACAGACAATTTTACATACAATATATAATCTCATTAAAAAGAAAATATAACAATATCAATTATTGTTTGTGCGTCCGATTCACGACTGTACACCAGTTTCTATGAGGTAAAGTCCTCCATGCTACAATGGCGAGGGAAAAAAATCGTGACAACCCGAGACCGACGCGACGGCGTGTGACATCACTGTCAGACTAATTACATAGTTGCCTATACTAAAAATTATAAACAACACAGAGTTCTGAGGCCAATTCCAAAGGCCATTGGTGGAATGATTACAAAAAAAATCTTTATTTTAGTATGGTATAACAATTATTTATTAAACATTAAAATAATATAATTGAATATATCTTTAAACTACCCTTAATATATTTAGTATTGTACCTAAAACAATGGACTTATGACTCTGGAAGATAGTACTGGAATTTCTTTAAACCTGAATAGAAATTAATTTATAAAAATACTGGAACTAGGCTCATTTGAACCAACACTTTCTTTTATCCAGTACATTAATAAGGGATTATTTACTAGAAAAGTAATTATTCATTGTCTATAAAAATTAGAATATTTTGGTATAGCACCCATCAATAGCTATACTATTATTATAAAGAGGAAAGATTTGTATGTAAGTATGTAAGTAAAATTTAAATTTCATGTACAAATTTAATCTTACTATCAAACAATAATATGTGCTATTAAGTGCTAATAACATACTTACTATATTGTAGAGCATGAATCAAACTTAAATCTTGTTTCAGGAGCTGTGTAACCACACTTTTCAGCATGAAGTTATTATATTTGGAAAGCGCTCAAGATGAGATTATGACTTGAGATACAAATTAGAATATAGACCACAGTTATAAACCTTGAAAAGGGCTATTTATTTGTCAATTGCAAGCATAGGGCATTTGTTCAATTGTGTATTACATGTAAAAAGACTGTCTATTAATAATAATATACCATACCAACAAAAAAAATAAACAGCCAAATATATTGGTACTAAAGGGAAGTCATGGCATTGTTTCAAGTCAGCTACTTGCCTGTTAAGAAATATAATTAATAAAATTGATGTGGATACAAGGCCCACTTGGATTACTATAAGGTATTATATATGATATATTAGTTCATTAAAGACAAATAAACCTAAATAAAATCTGGTGAAACATAATTATATCATAAACATTTAATAACCATAAAGCGATTACTATAGTGATAACTGAACTTTACCTATAATAAATACCTATAGGCTTCAGCTGCGGAAATACATTTTCATATATTTTTTACTGTCTGAAATACGTAAATAATAAATAAAAAAATCGCATATTATACATTTTAAAATAAAGCCTCGACTTACCAAAAATATATTTTTCGAAAAAAAACCAATCACTGTTACATACAAATTGTAAACTTAATATTATTTTTCGAATATTTTTTTTATCACCATGTTTAATTTCGAAACCGGTTTTAACTTTTATTTTTCAGCTTCTGTAGTTCCATTTGTTTTTATTATATTTAATATTACCAGCACAAAAAAAGTCTAAAAATCGATTTAAACGATTAATAGAAAACTTGCATGATACAACACCATATAAATAATAGTTGTCGTAAGTAAATACGAAAAAATTATACATAAACCATATTTTATAACGCACTTTCTTATTAGATAAAAAGTTGTAAAAAGAAAGCACATTAAACCACGTGGTGTGCCAAGGTCGAATTTATGTTTTCAACTTGTCAAGAGCGGCGTGTGATAAATTAATTCCACGGGCTGTTATCACTCCTACCCGTTTCATACTTACGTTCTTATCACTTAGTATATAGGGTTGAAATCTCTTTGTAAATTATACACGCATAGTCGCCAACCCAGGCTATATATCTTAAGCCGTACTGCCCGTGACAGTTCGTAAACAAACTGGAGCTACCGCAACAAAGAATACACATTCTTATCAAACTACATATTTCAATACTCATTCATAATACTCAATAATAAAATATTTAAAGGCAAACACTTCGTATACAGATTGAATAATTAATAAATTCGGAAACAAATAAAGTAAATAATGACTTAACTAATAAATTAGTAATGTACTCACCAGAAAAAAAACAGGATCAAGAAAATAATAGCAGAGTCATCTGTACATCTTGCACATATCGATCACGTCTTGCATCTCAATAACACTAAGTAAAAAAAGAAGGTTAGCACTGAAAATTAACGATACGTTATCTTTGAATGCGTTCTATTACAACGTTTTAAGAAATTACTGTTTAGTAAACAACAGCAATCATTTCAGATAAAATAATCAAATCACAAAATGATTCACTATCAAAATAAAAAATAGTCTGGTAGACGCTGCGTCGACCACCGCGCCACTGTCTGTCTGCCGTGCTGTCAATATTCGTCAAAACGAAAATGGCGACACCCTCGACAGAATACGATCATCGCTAGCCTGTTCAATTTTCTCTCTCTAGTAATCGCGATATTGTAGAAAGAGATGCCTAATAGACGTGTTGTTTTCAACTCGACCGGACTGATTTGTGATGTCACGCCCAGCGGCGTAACGTTTTGCGTAATTACATGTTCATGATAGCTTGTAAACTTGTTTTAATAACGTTAATTTAGAGTCGTTTTGTATTATGAGGTTAGGTGATGAATGTGTTTGTAATAGTGTAGGTTAATTACAGCATTTCTAAATGCTATCTAAAGGTAAAAGTTCTCGCGCATGCTAAGCCCGTCCCACCACTCAATATCTGTCGTAAAAGCGCCTCCTACTTCTTTTTATTTTATTCAGCATTTTCTTTTTTCAAATCTACGTCTCCGCTGCATTAATTTGGAACTTCTCTGCAGTCGCAATGCAGTTTGATTAATAATGAAGTTTGATTTAAAATTACTTAATACCACTATTATTTGCTGCGTGCAATATTAATTTTGTATTAAGTACCAATTTTTTTTTAAACACAATATGTTTACTTAGTTTTTATGACAGTTTACTTATCCAAAATAATAATTAATAATGATATTATATAGGTAAACTATTTAACCACACCTTATTCTACAAAAAAACATTCGTCTACAAAGTCTAAAATTAAAATATGTTGAAGTATGAAAATTTAAATATCATTTATATAATATAATTTTTCCATGCGTACATTTTGTGTATTCAAAATATACTAGTTATAGTAGTGATTATAATCATCGTAAAATGTGTTACTAATAAATGCATTTTTTTAAATATTCTGATCATAAAATCGATGTAATCCAATTTTGTTTTTGTGGGAAAATCTAATGAAATAATAAATACAAATTTTATGGCAACTATTTACAAGTGTCACTGTCACTAGAGTCAGATACTTCTTTTGTAAAGTCTTTCTGGTCTGTGGTCTATACTCTGTACTCTATGCACAATGTACTGTTTATGATTGGCTTTCGAATAACTATTAATCTTTCAAATATGAATTTTTAAATTTACTTCAGTAACCGCTACTGACTAGGCACTAAGCACACACGTAAAAAACACTTGCTTAGTTTTAACTTTTAGCTACTGTCCTTGGTGATTTTTTTTAGAATCTACTGCTATTTACGAACTTATTAATTTAATTTCGAAAATATAAAATGTCGGATAAAACTCACACCTCTAGGCTAGCTGCTTACAAGAATACTGGGCACGGAGCTACTGTAAGTTGAGAATCCATCTTTTCTGTTAACACCTATTGGCCTTATTTTTTTAAGATCTATTTTATTAGTATTTAGTATTCTATTTGAATAAATTCATAATAACACATATATTGCTTCGTAAGACTATTACTACTAGTTCTAACTATATCATATACGTATTGAGATTACATTCTTCAAAGATAAATTATGGAAAAATGAAAACAAATTGTTAATTATCTCATCTTTCTACTTAAAAGAGGTTTAATTAATAAGGCTGGGTAAAAATGACTATTTTTCATTGGAATTTTCTCGATAAGTTTATTGTAGGGTACCAAAGTTCATCACTACCCTTTTTAAACAATTAATTAAAAAATTAATAACGATTAATACTATATCTTAATAGCAGTTGGCATACAGGTTGAATTAAATAAGACAACACTTTCCTTTTTTTGATAAATTAAACATTTATCCAAATATCTTTACTTTCTTTCATAAGGACCTTCGTCGAAAACGTGTTGAATTGAGTGTCACTCTTCGCAAGCAAGCTCGAGATGAACAGCTACTCAAGAGAAGGGCAATGTCCCCTGAAGCTGATGAAGTACTGGAAACTGAACATATCATGACACCACACGAAATTGTAAAAGGTTTGTTAGTTAACTATTAAGAGTTTTGGAGGACTCGTTCAGGATTAATACCTATATAAATTAATATTTAGGAGTCTAAATAGCTGACATAAAACCAGCTCAGTCTATTGTTTTGTTATAGTTTGTTGAACTTATATTGCATTGTAATTAAATAGATAATAATTTTTGTAATAAGTATAAAGAGTAGGTAGAGTAAGATAAAGTCCTGTTAGGAAGTCCCTAATTGTATTAGGAAAGTCACCAATTAAAGAAAGTATGGTCAGCTGTCCACTATAATTGTAGTAATCATATATTTCATATTTTTTAATTACAAATTTTGTTTATAAGGATAAACTATCTTAAGTCTTAAACATAACTTAATCCCACTAATTTGCTGGTTATCTTTGTAACAGGTTTAAGATCCTCAGACCTGTCCATCCTAACAGCATCAGCAAGGGCTGCTCGAAGGAAACTGTCAAAAGAACAGAATCCACCAATTAGCATCATGCTGGAAGTTGGTGTACTGAAACCTTTGGTTGATGCTTTAGACAGGGATGACTGGTGAGATTAATTTCTAAAAATTTGTTTCATAATAAATTCAAGTATTATACTTCTTGGTCAAATTACTCACAAAACACAATAAATATGTCTGCCCTATTCCCCTAGTAACAAGGTTTTTAATGACAAATAAAACAGGTTTGTTGTTGGTAGGAAATGTTTAAAGATCTGCAAAAAAAATTACTAAATAATAATTGTATTTCAACTAAATCTAGACTGATTATCACTCTTTTAATTAGTATTTTGTTACCCTCTGTCAAATTGTGTTTATGCTGTGATGAAAAAAACAAGTTATTTTTGTAAATGATGGTATAGTGTAAAAATCCATAGCTCTGACTCCACAGAACTGATGTTTTCATATGTTTTCAGTAATGACTTGCAATTTGAAGCAGCGTGGGCAATCACCAACATCGCATCTGGCACACATGAGCACACAATGGCAGTTGTGGATGTTAGTTTATCTCTTTTGTGTAAATTAAGTACCATCTTTCAACAGTTTGCAACACACTTGAAGTCAGGTGTCAAGGCATAGGTTGATCACCTGCATATAGTCAAACAATAGCGATGCTATTATACTTCACTTTAGGATCTGTGTGGACAGATCCAATTATGGGATTTGAGTTTGTTATATCTTGTTATTCAATATGAAAAAAATTAAATTATCTAATTCATGTCGAACATGCTTTTGTATTAGTTGTCATAACTGCCACACTGGTACTCTTTACAAACAGACTGCAAAGTTTACACCTATCAAGGATGTGGTTTTTCTTCTTTAATCACCAACTATCTTAGTGTAAATTTAATAGATCTCATCTTCCAAGTTTCAGCATTCAGCCTCTAATAAAAAAATATTCTTTATATACTTTTTAGAGTGGTGCGATTCCACAACTGATAACCCTCTTAGCCCAAGGAGGGGCAGTAGGAGAACAAAGTGCCTGGGCTTTGGGAAACATAGCTGGTGATGGTGCACAGACAAGAGACATTGTACTGGCCCACGGGGCTTTACCAGCCCTCTTGCCCCACTTGCAAATAAACAGTCCCACATCGCAATTAAGAACAGCAGCTTGGACTTTTAGCAACTTGTGTAGGTGAGTGAATTCATACTGTGAGCAGATAACTGTATGCTGGGTATTCCACTACTACATATATAACACTGAAGAAATGTGCCCCAAGGGATTTTTTTATGTACTAGCAAATATGGTAAAAAACTACATAATAAGTAAAGGAGCAAGTCTAAAATTTAGTTAGTATATTAATAAAGTCACTAGCTGATAATTAAATCAAAAACTTAATAATGTATCACATATCACCTCAATTTAAATTGATATTAGTACATATCAATTTATATCATCTACTTGCCTGAAAATATAAAATACTTATTAATCTATAATGTATGATACAATTTATACATTTTACAGGAATAAGAACCCAATAGTAAACTTTGAAGTGATTTCCCCAGCATTGCCATACATTACTGAATTGTTAGATATAGCTGACCAAGAAGTGCTGGGTATGTTCAGTAATTTATTTATTATTTATAAAAAAAAATACACTATCTTATTGTTGCATGCTTAAAGGAATTTTAAATCAATACAAAAATATACTCTATATTATTAATGTATTTCAATTTTGTTACACATTTATATAATTTTATAATATTGTCATAGTCATAGAATAGTAACGGATCTGACAAAATATAGTAAACTTTACAGGCCAGCCATTTCAAAATAATATAATCATGTTAGTTTTTGTCATAACTATTTTAATTCATATTATGTTATTATGAAAATTGGCATACAAGCAAACAAAAGGGTTTGTTTTGAAACAAAATAAAAAAATAAACATTAAATTACACAGTTTTCTAAAAAAAAACACATGTTTCTATGAAATCCGTCACTTTAAAGATTAGATTAATTTGAAATTGAAAACACATGGAATTTTTTGAAATGTAGCCGTAATATATTGACTTAAATATTAGTAGTATCTAAATATGATAAAAAGACGATTTTGGATTTTTTTCAAATTCGACATTGACCTACGATCATAATATATACATACATATAACTAACAGCAGATGCAAGTAGAATTTTTTCAGCAAATTATTTTAATAATTTTTGGTTTCAGCGGATACTTGCTGGGCCCTATCCTACCTAACTGATGGTCCCAACGAACGTATTGAGGAGGTTCAAACCACCCCTCATTTACTCTCTCGTCTGATTAAGCTCTTGCAGCACAAGTCTCCAGCTGTTAAGACTCCGGCATTACGGGCTGTGGGCAATATGCTCACTGGATCTGATGAACAGGTAATTTATTCATAGGGTGTAAATTCTAAAAAATCTGGTATAAAGGTTTTCTTGAGTTATAATAAATCCCCTTATTGCATGCTAAATTCATTCATTTTCTGTTCAACAACTATGTTTCAATAAGTCGTCGACATGAGGCGTTTCTCCGGGTTTTTAATATGTCGTTAAATTTTTAACATTATGACCAATAACGTGGCTGTTCCTAATTCCATACTATATATTTTTAAATTATTTTTTTTGTACAAAATAAATATTTTCGTAATCAAATCCTTAAACATAGTAAACTAGCCTAGCCTGACATTATTATGCTCCAAAGAACAACTCTGTGTAAACTGGTTATTAAATTTTTTCTTGTACCCGTTACAGACGGACAGATGTCTCCAAGCAAATTGCCTAGATTATCTAACCGAGTTGCTTCACTCTGGTGTAACGCCATTAGTTAAAGAAGCCTCTTGGGCGGTAAGCAACGTCCTCGCTGGTACCAGCGAACAGATTCAACTCGCAATTGATAAAGGAATGCTGGTTCATCTGGTGCATGTTCTTGGTGTAAGCGATATTAGGTGAGTATATTTGAAAACAAATACACACTCACTTCATCCTGGCTCTGCGACACAAATAGTCTTTGACCATAAAAACGTGAAAGAAACTTCTAACGGGAGCGTCCTATGCCAAAACATTCTTGACAGTGTATTATTTACTTGGGTGAAGACCTGATGTTAAAAGACCTATATTCTATTTACAAGTTGGAATTGCTATAGCTTGTGTAAAAAAGGGTTAAATGGGTTAATTTAATGTAATAACAATTACAGATGTCAAAAAGAAGCCGCCTGGGCAATCACAAACCTATGTCTGGGTGGAACTCCGATGCAACTTGATGCCTTAGTATCTGCGGGCTTCATTGAGCCATATTGTGCTTTGCTAGAGTCGCAGGACCACAGAGCGATTATTGTTGTATTGGAAGGACTAACAAACCTTTTGCAGGTATATCCAAATAATCATAACACATTAAACAATATGTTTTAAGTGGGGATGGGATGTTTTCCATTATCGTGTTGTGTGGTAAAATTATCAAGACAAAAATACACAATGGAACGTTTACAACATAATTGTTTGAATAATTTGTTATTTTTATGAAAATCTATTAAAAGAAAATAGATTTCTGTAACTGCTTAAACTATGATTTTGTGAGAAGTTAATTGTTAGTTCAAATAAACAATAGTTACTGTGATGATTAGCAAATTTTTAGAGATTGATAGGATTAAAATATAAATAAGTTACATAGCAGCTAATTTGTAATATAGTATTTTTATTTGTAACTCTACACAAGTTTCTTTCCTAGGCTGCTGCTAAATTTGGTCAAGTGGAACCATTATGCCTTCAATTGGAAGAAATAGGAGCTTTGGACAAAATTGAGGCACTTCAAGAACATGAAAATGAACAGGTATAATTTTTTAAGTTTAATTGGGCCTATTCTGGCCACTATCTCATAGCTAAAACACAATTTGAATCATATATGAGAACTTCATTAAAATCAGTTTGATTGTTTAAACTTCAATATCAATAAATTTCTATATATTGATAGTAGATATGCATAACAGAAGTTTAAAAGAATGGGTAACATTAAAACATTATGTTGTCAGTTGTTAGTTATATCTTCTGATAAGGGTGATATGCAATGACGCAGATATATTTCATAATATTAATATCATATTAAATATGTTAAATCTAACATTTATTTAATATAAAAAGCTGATCAACTCCAATGCCAAACAACAATTCAATTCTCTGGGAAACAAACTTATGATCATGGTTTGTTTATTATTTAATCAAGTTGTAAATATTAATACAAATGAATATAATGTATAAATATAGTGTGCTTCTTTTTAGATCTACAAGAAGTCACTTCATATTTTGGACACATACTTCAGCGATGGCGAAGACCAAATTGCCCAGCCAGAACAAAGTAATGAAGAATTCCAATTTGGCATCAGCTCAAATCCAAATATTAATTTTTAGTACTCCTAGAACTTTTGTAGATAAAACTATTTTTTTAAGTAAAGGCTAATTTTTTGCACAAAAAATCAAATCATAAAAATGTATTAGAATATTTAAGCTTTAAGATTTTGAGAACTAAGTTGGCTTGTATTCCTAAATTAATCATTCCATACATATGTGATAGACCTTTTAAGAATCCACTTCATTATAATATTATTTCTACATATGCAAATAATATGGTCATGTATTGTGAGTGAGATATTTTTAAGAAGTTCTTCATAAGTGCCTTAAGTACAGATGAGCTGGTCTCTTAGTAAAAGTTATTTACATGAAGTATTTTTTTTCCTATGCATTACAATATTCCCTAATAATAATAAACCAGATTAAAAATTTTGTAAAGCAAATACAGATTTTTCTTAATAAAAGTGGGTAGTAAACATTTGTAAGGTTATTTTCCTCTGGTATTCAATACTGCATTTGGTTTAGTTGGTGCATTCATCTTTAAAACTAGGTATGAAAACCAACTATGCTAGGAAGTTATGAAAAAGGATAAAATCTTATATTAATAGAAATCAATAAACCTGCAAGCCTATTATGAACTAGGTGTAAGTAATTTAATAAAAGTTACATTAATTGAAAATATATAATTATTTTGATGCAATTAGTTAATACTATACAATAAACTAACAAAAAATACATGCTTAATGATAGTTATGTACTTAATTGAAATAAACCTCAAATGAAATAAGTCAATACTACTAAGTATTAAGTTTTTTATATGGAATATGGATGTAGTAGTCCAGTCCAAGGACAGATTTGAATTAAACCAAACATAAATTTGTGACGTGAGCTTATAAAGAAAATTAAAAAACAAATTTGTTTACATATAATATATTACAGTAAGTTAAAATTAGATTCAAATTAATTTATGTAAATGAAAAATTATCCTTTTGTTTGTTCCCTTAGCTTCTCCAGTTGTTGTCTGTAAATGCAAAAATAATGTTAAAATGCTATATTAGAAGAAGTAAGGTCTGAATAATGTATAGAATGATACATAATCAGTTTTTATTCTGTTTTATCTAATAAAAAACATCCAAATTTTAAAAATGAGTAATGATCAAATATTTTTTTGTGTTTTCATGGTTATAGTATCAACATTAACATGGGGTGAAGATTGCATTAGGTATATATAGTCTATCTAATAGCTATTATCACATTATTTACACATATCTGCTGCAAGTTGGTTTGTTGTTTAAATATTAGTTATTAATCAAGCCAAAGAACTAGAAAAACGCTACTTGTGGGTCACATCTACATTTTCTTTGTAGTTTGTGTCAGTAAGTATACAACCATACAGACCTAAGTTGTTGGTTAAAATCATCTTGAACGATGTCGTCTTCCCAATTATCTTCCCAGACTGAAACATCTTCATCATCTGCCTCTTCATTCCCCCAATCTACGGATTATATGAATTTTGTCAATATAGCGTCTAAACTCAACTTGTGCTACGAATGTTTGCATTAGATTCTAATAAAAACATACTTTCAGCAGGAAATTCTTCGAATTCGTCATCCTCCTCTAATAAACCAAGATCTACTTTCTGTTTATCGGCCATTATACTTTTTTAATTTACTATTTAAATGAAAATCAAAATTCAAAACACTAACGAGCTCAATGAAATTTTAATTAGAAATATCATTTAAAATAATAGTCATCGTGTTCTTAGTCTTTGTCAGTTGTCAATATCGTTGTCAACCGAAGAGAATACACCACAGATCTGAACCTACTAACTTATTACCTTTGGTGCATGGTTGAAATGGGTCCGAACTTATTTTTTACGATTTAATTTTTAAATGTTTTAAAAATTACATGTTTTAAATACGTTAGAATTACATAACAAGTAAATTTCTAAACTAAAATTCATGTTAAAAGTAATTAGCTAAGTTATAACCTAACATTTTTGAGTATGGTCCAAGTTTTCTAAACCCTACATAGACATGTTATGTTATTTTATATCCTAGGCATAATTAGATTCACTCCTAGTGGTGAGACCTTACTCGAACCGATACGGTGTCTCTCTAAATATACAGAGTTATTGCTATTTAACTTCCCGGTAGGAAGTGATAGGATAAAAATAACTCATGCAAATAAACACTTACTTGCATGCATCTTTAATTGTTAATACTAACTTGTTACTGGGCCTAAATTCATTTTTTTGTTTTATTTACATTAAGTATTGTTTTTAAATGAATTTTGTGGTAATTTTAAAGAACCTGCTTTAAGTATAATATTATAAAAATGTCAGGAGTTTCCCGTCTGATATTTTTTTTTCACTTTCTTTAAAAGAAGTTCCTGGTTGTTATGCATTGTTGGAAAGCTAAGAAAAAGGTTAATCAAATCTGCAAGCCAAGTTTAACAATGTTTTTAAGGAATTTTCGTGGAAATAAATATCAAAAAAATATTGATATATTTATAAATAACCAGTATGTAATCGTTTTTATAAATGAAAAATAAAATAAAATTTTAAATTAAGTATACTTTTTTTTATAAAAAAATTTTTTGTTGCATTTTTGGCTTACATTTAAAAAAGCTAAAAAATACTAGGAAACGAAGATAGATTTTGTTATCCAACACCTCTCGAAAGTGGTGATACTAAGGTGTTCTACCAAATGTAATTTAGGGAAGTGAGCAGTTGATGATCATTTTATGCGCTCAAAAGCCACTTTTGACCGCGTCGTTTCAAAAAAATAATCGAATTTACCAGTTTAGTGTAACAATTTTGAATTCCTTCTTCGTTCTGAGCTTTTAATCGATATGTTAGGGTGTTTAAACTTCCTCCCGTTATTGCTATTGGGTCGCGGAGCATGGCATGCGAACTGCATAGTGAACCAATTATGTCGACATATGGTTTTGCTAATCTTCAGAGGTGAAGTTGTCAAAATTACAATTGTCTTAGTATTCGCAGCGAAGTGCAACTTTACATAATATGGATTTTGTCGAAGGTGTTTAGGAAATAAAATAAAAAGTATTTAAAAATATTTAATAACTAAATAGCGTTGAATTGACATCGTAAAAATCTTAAATCTAATATTATATCACAAATATATCACATTTTTGAACCGAGTACAAGTTCACTAATGATTTACATTTACAGTATAACGTTTAAAGTTTAAATTTTAATTATTGCTCCGTTAACTAAAATTCTCTTCTCTTTGCTTTTACAATTCACCACAGGCTATCAAATGTCAATTTATCTTATTCATAAACAATTGGTCTGCGCCATTTGAATAAAGTATAAAAAGTAATTCTATTCTTTGTGTCAAATTATGTAACACTCTAAGATACAGATAACATGCTATTTTATATGGGGAAGATCGTTTTAGAATTTCTCAATAAGGCTTAGTTTTTAAAGTTTAAACAAACGATGGGCCATATATTGAAACGACAATGTGAAATATTTTTTAATTCAAAAGCAGACTAAAATTTACAAGTATACAATTAACCCAACACACAAAAACAAAAAAAAAAAAAAAAAAAAAACGCACAAAAGGGGGGGGGGGGGGGGGGGGGGGGGGGGGGGGGGGGGGGGGGGGGGGGGGGGGGGGGGGGGGGGGGGGGGGGGGGGGGGGGGGGGGGGGGGGGGGGGGGGGGGGGGGGGGGGGGGGGGGGGGGGGGGGGGGCGCGGGGGGGGGGGGGGGGGGGGGGGGGGGGGGGGGGGGGGGGGGGGGGGGGGGGGGGGGGGGGGGGGGGGGGGGGGGGGGGGGGGGGGGGGGGGGGGGGGGGGGGGGGGGGGGGGGGGGGGGGGGGGGGGGGGGGGGGGGGGGGGGGGGGGGGGGGGGGGGGGGGGGGGGGGGGGGGGGGGGGGGGGGGGGGGGGGGGGGGGGGGGGGGGGGGGGGGGGGGGGGGGGGGGGGGGGGGGGGGGGGGGGGGGGGGGGGCGGGGGGGGGGGGGGGGGGGGGGGGGGGGGGGGGGGGGGGGGGGGGGGGGGGGCCGGGGGTTGGGGGGGGGGGGGGGGGGGCGCCCCCCCCGGGGGGGGGGGGGGGGGGGGGGGGGGGGGGGGGTGCCGCCGGGGGGGGGGGGGGGGGGGGGGGGGGGGGGGGGGCCGGGGGGGGGGGGGGGGGGGGGGGGGGGGCGGCCGGGGGGGGGGGGGGGGGGCCGGGGGGGCCGCCGGGTGGCTTGCTTCGGGGGGGCGGGCGGGGGGGGGGGGGGGGGGGGGGGGGGGGCCCGGCCGGGGGGGGGGGGGGGGGGGGGGGGGGGGGGGGGGGGGGGGGGGGGGGGGGGGGGGGGGGGGGGGGGGGGGGGGGGGGGGGGGGGGGGGGGGGGGGGGGGGGGGGGGGGGGGGGGGGGGGGGGGGGGGGGGGGGGGGGGGGGGGGGGGGGGGGGGGGGGGGGGGGGGCCCGCGCCGGGGGGGGGGGGGGGGGGGGGGGGGGGGGGGGGGGGGGGGGGGGGGGGGGGGGGGGGGGGGGGGGGGGGGGGGGGGGGGGGGGGGGGGGGGGGGGGGGGGGGGGGGGGGGGGGGGGGGGGGGGGGGGGGGGGGGGGGGGGGGGGGGGGGGGGGGGGCCGGGGGGGGGGGGGGGGGGGGGGGCCCCCCGGGGGGGTGGGGGGGGGGGTTTTTCCCCCCCCTCCCCCCCCCCCCCCCCCCCCCCCCCCCCCCCCCCCGGGGGGGGGGGGGGGGGGGGGGGGGGGCCGCCCCCCCCCCCCCCCCCCCCCCCGTTCCCCCCCGCGGGGGGGGGGGGGGGGGGGGGGGGTGGGGGGGGCCCCCGGGGGGGGGGGGGGTGGTTTTTTGGTGGCTTTTTTTTGCTGGGGCCCCCCCCCCCGGGGCGGTTGGCCTCTTTTTTTTTGGGGGGGGGGGGGTTTTTTTTTTTTTTCTGCCCTTCTTTTTTTTTTTTGGTTCCCTCCCCGAAAAAATTAAAAGGGGGGGAAAAGGGGGAGGGGGGGGGGTTTTTTGGTTTTTTTTTTTTTAATTGGGAGATTGGTTGTATTTTCTTTGATTTTTTTTTTTCCTTTTATTTTTTTTTTGGGGGGGGGGGGGGGGGGGGGGGTTTTTTTTTTTTTTTGGGGGGGGGGGGGGGGGGGTTGGGGGGTGGTGGGGGGGGAGAGAAGGGGTGGGGGGGGGGTTTTTTGGGGGTTTTTTTTTGGGCGCCCTTTTTTGTTTATATTTTTTTTTTTTTCCCGTTAACCCCCCCCCGGGGGGGGTGGGTTTTTCTTTTCTTTTGTTTTTTTTTTTTTTTTTTTTTTTTTTTTTTTTTTTTTTTTTTTGTTTTTTTTAGTTTTGTGGTTTTTTAAAAGGTTTTTTTTTGGGGGGGGGGAATAATAGAAGGGGGGGGGGGGGTGTGTGGGGGGGGGGGGAAATTTTTTTGGGGGAAAATAAATCTTTTTTAAAAAAAAAAGGGGAAAGGGTTTTTTTGGTGGGGGGGGGGGGGGTTTTTTTTGGGGGGGGGTGGGGGAGGGTTTTGGGGGGGGGTTGGGGGGGGTTTTTTTTTTGTTTTTTGGGGGTGGGGGGGGGGGGGGGGGGGCGGGGTTCTTTTTTTTTTTTTGGGTTTTATAGCTTCAAAATAAATAAAATATGTAATTCTTGCGAGATATAAAATATAAAAAAAAAAAAAAATATGATTAATTATAAACTAAGTATATAGTTCAAAAACGCCTTTGACACTTTCAATACAATAATAATTCTAATCTAATCTTAGCATTACATTAAGTCTTATTTTACGTGAAAAATCGTCATTAATACAACTTTATTCTTAGATCCGTCAGTACCTGCGGACAGTTATTCCCGAATTTCGGGCAAAATTTGTCTACTGGCAACACAGCCATAGACAACAGAAAAAAGCCATAAAAGCAACCGGAACTTTTTAACTACACTCAAAAAGCAGGTAGCGATGAAGAATGGTAGGTATGTCTAACTTCTTAACAACTTTTGCAAGATCTGTACCAAATATTTTACGCATAAATATTCTAACTTGCCCAAGCAAGGCAATTGGAGTCTTAGCACGTTTGATTAAAGCTTCTTTTTGCGAAGGTGTAAGAATGTTGTTTCTTTTTATCATGCAGAGGTCAAAGGATTCAGCGGCGTTTAAAAGGAGATAGTAGATATGTTGGTACTCTTCTAGCGTGACGTTTTGAAGGTGGTTGAGTATGCCGTCCGGATCCCGAAATTGAGTTTTCATTATCACCTAAACGTAAAAATTTTAATGTTATTTTACTTCTTTATTAATATAACTATACATATATTCTTAGATTTGGTATGTTTGTGAGCGAAAAAATCGTGTCAGCTTATAGTGTTGATGATGTTAAATGTTCTAACAATATTAAAAAAAAGGGTGCGTGTACTTATGTACGCGCGTAAGAAGTTATACTTCTTTGGCATTATTAAAAATAGTTTGGCTTTGTTCCACCTCCAGTTTTTGATGTTTCACAGCGATAAGATGACAACTCTTTTTTTGTATTCAATTTAGTGCACTTACACTGATTCATCAATTGTTTTTTGTCTCTTTTCCTTATATTTGCTAGATAAAATCAGAAAAATTACATGTTTTGATTAAACAATGTGGTTAATTTTTTAATCAAAACATTACTCGATAATAATAATAATACATACGGATAGTTAACCTCAATTGTATTGAAGCACTTAGGAAGGTTGATGAGCACAGTTTTTTCACAAATATTAATTAGTATTGGTTTAAATATTCAATTTAAATCACTTCTGATTATATATAATTCAAAAAGCATTGCTAAATTTCTTTGAAAAAATAATTAAAGCTCCTTTATTTGTTTAAAAGGTAAATGACAAATGTCATTATGGTCATTCAAAATTCTTGGCATACGAACTTCACGCATATTCTATTTCTTTTTACTTGTAGATTGTCTTATTCCTATCTCGCTCGCGCACGCTATAATCACACTCCTAATTTTGTGTCACGGTGCGCGCGCATCGTAAAATTTCACTCTCATCAATTTTTCATAACGCGCCTAAAGAAGTATAACTTCAAAAAGAGTTAAAAAAATTCTCAACACTACTTGACACGACTTTTCAAAGCTCTGAATGTAGAATTCACAAAAACTCTTTACAATTTGCTTAGGGTTATAAGGTCTCTCAATCCATACGTTTTTGACATACGAGAGTCATACTTAGCGCTGTGTTTGGAATGTTACCCTAAGCACTTACCCTAGCACCACTTCTCAACAAAGCATAGACAATATCAGCATCTGGCTCAGTGTTGCTAGCTAAGTATTCGGCCAGTGCCGGTCTAAGTTGAGCCCCATCATCTTCATTGTACACCTTTTGATTCGGGTCTGCTCCACTTTCAAGTAGAATCTATAAAAAAAATTTAGAACAACGGTTTTGGTAAATTAACTTTAAAAATTTAAAATGACGTCATAATTTCATACTGTCAAATAGTCAATCTTACTTTGCAATTGTCTTACTCAACGAGGTTAAATTACTTCAAGATATTATTATAATCTCCACGACAAATTTAATAAATTAATGATAAATTCCTAGACACTAGTTACAAAAGTTAGGCTTATCTTGTCTTATTTAAATAAAATAAATCAGTGGCGCTACAACCTCTTTAGGTCTTGCCTCAGATTTCTGAATCTGTTTCATGGTCATTAAATATAATAGGCAAGTAGGTGATCAGCCCCCAGTGCTTGACACACGCCGCGCCGTCGACTTTTTGGGTCTAAGACATGTCAGTTTCCTCACGATGTTTTCCTGCACCGTTCGAGCAAATGTTAAATGCGCACATAGAAAGAAAGTCCATTGATCCAGCTGGGGATCGAACCTACGACCTCAGGTATGAGAGTCGCACGCTGAAGCCACTAGGCCAACACTGCTCTCGTCTTATTTACCTTTACAATTTCCTTCCTGTTAGATATATTATCAGAGCAGGCAACATGGAGCGGAGTGCCTATCACAGAACTTGACGCGTTTACATGAGCACCTGTAAAAGAAGAAATAATAATTATGCTCAGTAAAATGGACAGTTAAAGTGTTAAGGTGATTCAAAGTCGAGACTTCGAGTGTGGCAGAACGTCAAATAAAATTCGTAGTTAACATTGGAGTTATATTGGAAAATTAAGATACTTAAAGTTACAAAAGTTCGCGCTTTTAGTAGGGAATAATCTAGAAGCCATATCTGCGGATTTAATGACACTGGCCATATTACTAACATTGTTATATGATATATATAAATGTATCTTTTAAGTATGATTCCAGTATGTCAAATACAATTCGTTTTATTCGACACATAGGTATCAAGTCTGAAAATGTAGAACATGCGTTTGACAGAAAAATCTGTTTTTTAATAGAAGTTTATTTTAAGAAGAGTAAGGGACATTGGAACCACTATTAAGAATCTGCAATGGAAGTGGACTGCAAGTTATAAGAGGCATTAAGGAGAAATGGTCCAGTAATCTAACAGCATGGTGTCCACGGTACAGAAAGCGTGGTACGGGACGACCACACATGATGGGATATGTGGCGGCGCGTCACGCGCAATGAAAGCAAACGGAGAAGTGTGGAAGAGGAACTAGTGCTAGATATATTATCATTAGAATAATATATATAGATCAATATTGTAAATACTTTAGTATCCGAATAAAAGGTTTTACTATAATTATTGTTTGGTAAATGTTTATATTATTTCAGGATCTATTCATGATCCTAGTACACTATTGCACACGGACCTAAGCCAAGCGATACAGTTTTTTTCAAATTTCAAATTACAATTTCGTAAAGAAAATTTATGCAATATTAGTATTTTAAGCAAAATAATTTATTGAAATCTCAAATGACGAATTGTAAATTAAAATGCCACGTGTATTTATTATCGAAGAAATAAATTATTTTTTTATTTTTTATTATTTGTATTAGTTTTCGACACTTAATATTTTAATGACAGACTTCTTCATACACAGACACTTTGGCAAACTAATTATTATTAGTTTGCCAAAGAAGTTTCACTTCTAACATGTGTACTTTGTACGCACGCACTTTTTTATTGGGTTACTGTCTTGTAGAAATTTGTGAAACATTTTATTTCATATTATTAATTTGTGAAAAATGTTGTTGAAAACATCAAAAACATTTGTTATCAAAGGTTAAAGCAAATAAATACTTACCAGCTTTAAGTAACATTTGAACCACATCCACGTCTCCTTTGAGTATGGCCAGGTCAATAGGCGATGGTTTGTTCAGGTCTGGACTTTCATAGTTGACTTTCGCGCCTTGCTTTATCAATAGGTTAACTACTTCGGTATTTCCTGTGAGGGGTATTATATGGGTATTTAAAATATTCAAAATTGACTTTTTGGTACGTTTTTCGGTAACGATTCGAAACATGGCAAAGTTGTGGTTGCTGGGGTGGTGAGGGAAGGGGGAGGGGTGTAGTAATCAACACCTCAAAATTCTTTGCGCGCCGGAAACAAAAAATTTTTTTAAAAATCTCACCTATTTATCTACTCAACTCGGCTTCTTGGTGCCTTCGGCGACCAAATATTCATATACTAACCTAACCTAACCGATCTAAATAATATTTGTTTATTTGGACAGCTCCGATCTAAATAATAATTGTTTATTCAGCCCTCGGCAACTGGATTTGGTCGCCTTCGGCGACCAAATATTCATAACTAACCTAACCTAACCGATCTAAATAATATTTGTTTTTTTGGACAGCTCCGGCGCTAGGGAAATGCAGCCCCTCCACCCTTGCGTACCAAAGCACAGGCAGTTTATTCAAGCCTCCGCAACCTCGGCTTTTCCTCCGCGCCTCCGATTATTTATATACACTCTAGGGGTAAGGCAGACAAGACCACGTGGATAGTGGGGTGCTCTGATTCGGTTTTGGGTACTTTTTGAATAATTTAAAATTTTTTCGCAAACCATAGCCTTATTGAAACATGAAGTTAATGTAATGTAAGTACATTTGACAAGTAATGTATTAAATTAGGTTCAACTATAAAATTAACAAATGAGAAAATAATCGATCCGATTAATTTACCGAGAATGTCACATCACTTATAACCAACAGAAAATCACTAGAATGACACATCTCTTATAACCATAGAAAGTTGATAATGGTGGATTGTTTACAAATTTCAATACATTTCAAAAACATAAAATTTTTTAAAAAATACTTTGACGCATTTCCGGCAGCTAAAATTACTTGGAGGTGTTCCAATCAAGGTCCCCGAGGACTCCTGCATAATCAGTATCATCAGATTCCAACGCACTATTATCGCACCCAACCCATGGTGTCTAACTAAAAACCTAGTCAAAATCTTATTCTTTTTTATTAGCTAATGTATATATATATATATATATACGCGACGCGTGAACGGCTGGACTGATTTCGCAAATTCATTTTTTGTTGTGTTTGTTATTGTAAGGAAAAGGTTCTTATGAAAAAAAAATATAAGAGAATTGCGCGGAAAATTTAAGAATACTTAACCACTATATTAAGTAATCCTGACTTTTGTTACATTAATACATATAAAATAATATATCATGTGGCCAGTTATATGTCGCCTGTTCCCGTGTCGGAATACCAACAAAACTTTTTATATACGCGCCAGAAAAACAAACAAAGAATGTTGTACATCATAGAACATTAGAATAATAAACATTTGTTTTTCTGAAATATTTTTTTAGTTAATTATACCAATTCAAATTCAATATTCATAGTCAAGTCTGTCGGGTCCACTAGTTTATAATAATAAGGTATTAATAATTATTCTTAAACATACCACTCAAAACGGCATAGTGCATGACAGTTCTGTAATCATTTCGCGCGTCTGTCAACGCGTTGATGTCTGCTCCGTAGCTGAGAAGCATCAATACTGATTCGATTCCCTGTAAATTAATAAAAACCTTTATGTACAGTGTACACTCTAAGTATGTACCCTTGACAAAACACATTCACGTGTTTTAGAAGCGCATCAATTACTAATCATACCGAGTGCAAAAACCAGTCTGTTGTACAGATCCCCATTAATAAAGACGTTGCACTTACTACATGCCGTCTCCGACACCTTTATATCGCTTGGGGAACAAAGTAAAGCACTATTACGATTTTAAGGTATTCACATTTTTGACTTTCTTGGGTATTGTACTTGCAACTGTAATTTTGTTTTAATAATTTTTGCAAACCATTTTACTATAAAAAACACGAGGATGTCCTTTTCTTTAAAGGTATGCCCCGGAGAAGCAGAGTTCACAGTAGCGATATTGTGTATTATGTTTTTAATATTATATATTTCATTTTTCGACTTTATCGTATTGGCTTAGTACTGTAAGAATAGTGTATGTATTTATGTAAATAAATAAATAACGATTACCTTCCGTTGCCGAGCAGCTTTCATCAGCGGTGTCAGACCAGCTCGGTCCCTTGAGTCAGGATTGGCACCAAACATGAGCAGCAGCTCCAAGTATTCAGGGTCTGATACCAGGTTGATTTCAGAGCCGAAAAAGTATCTTTTATTGGGGTCCGCACCATGTTCTAATAATAAACGTGCTACGGCCTGTAAGCGATAAACTATTACTACTAAATACGTATATATGTGAAGTTTTTTTATTTAAAAGTTTATTTCATACACACAAATATACAGTATTTACAATATTCTTAAGCTATATACTATATAGTAATAATAATATATAAAAATTAATCAATAGAAAATTAATAGAAAGTGTTTTTCCCCTGTGGCAGCTTTTCCTCGGTGTCCTTATATTTATGTGAATTAGTTTTTATTATTAATCTCGCTGTATACCATAGATATATCATAGAATAACTTACATAGTGTTTATTCCGTATAGCGAGCCGTAGTGGTTCATCGCACAAAGTGGTTCTTGGGAATTCTTCAGCAGTATCTTGTCTATAATCGACAGCAGCACCACTTTCGAGTAAAAGTTTTACTAGTTCTGTGTACCTGGGTAAATAAATCGTAATCGCAAATTAATGTAATAATATATTTAAGTTTACAATAAATATGGTATGTATGTATAATGTATATGATAAAGCTATGAAGGCGCATTTAATATTCGATTTTAACTAACCAAAGTACGTAAAAAAATACACATTATGAGGGGAGAATAATGAAAAACAATATTTTCCACAAATACTAATCCATCTGAAAATAAGCTTAAAACAAATATTTTTACTTAATACAAAACTTTGATTTAAAACTAATTACTGCCAACAGGCATCGCAAGAGACGATGGCAAGCGGCCGGATGGAATGTCTTTGATCCCTTGGAAAATGGGACGGGCTTTAGTATGAGATGCTACTTGTGCCTTTGCCCCGTCTCATCTCCTTCGGACAAGCAAAAAATCTGGCGCGGCCGCAGAACAGGCAGAAATTAATAAACGGCACAAATATAAGAGTCTTTCCTCCAACTTCAATTTTGTTCCCTTTGGAGTAGAGACTCTTGGGCCGTGGGGTTCAAGTGCACAGGCGCTAATTAAAGATTTAAGTTGGCGCCTGGTAGATAGTACCGGTGACCACAGAGCTGGCACTTTCCTGGCTCAAAGAATAAGTCTCGCAATACAGCGAGGAAATGCTGCCAGCGTTAAAGGTACACTGCCACAGGGACCAAACTTTTTAAATTTGTTTTGATTTTCTTCTTTCTTCTTTAATTATTTTTATTATTACTTTATTACTGCATTATATAATTTATTACCAACTCACAAATATACAGTATTTAATCATAATAATTGAAAATTGATAAATAGAAAATTAAAACATATTTATTTAGTTTGGGTGATGGGCATTTCCTCGCTATATTGCGATACTTATTTGTTGAGAGAGGAAAGCACCACCTCTGGGGTAAAATAAAAAAAATATGTTTATTATGGAACATAAGATACATGTATCACTTATTACACGTCATTAAATTTGAATTTGTAGGCATCCCTACTCATCGGCAAAGAAGACAGAGGGTGTAGGCCGAGAGAAAAAGCCGGCGTAAAAAACTCTCGGTACTCTTTTAAAATAGCGAATCATCAAACAACACTTATTTTAAAACAAATATCGCAAAGGGTAACTGGTGCCAACTTAAATCTTTAATTAGCGCTTATGGACTTGAACCCCACGGCCCCAGAGTCTACTCCAAAGGGAACAGGGCACAGGTACTATTCTGACATACCCGTGTTCTGCCGACAGATGGAGAGCGCTATAGCCACAATCATCAGTTGCGTTGATGTCACACCCCCGTACCAAGAGCAGCCTTGTCGCTTCCAGGTATCGCTGCCAAATTGCATAGTGCAGGGGACGTAGACCTTGTGTCACTGGTTCATTGACCTGAAACCATTATTCATTTATTTATATTAATAATATCCTTAAAATTAAAACCAAAAAACACCGAAAATTCTTCACAAATAGTTTCTTTGTTTTTAAAATTATGTTTTATTTTACGCTTTTAATTAATATCCAATCCACAGCAGAGACTGTCCGTACCTATGTTTTATTCCCAACCCTCAACCTATAATAAAGGAATGACGAAAACTAATATCATCAGATTAAATTATTCAAAGTTCCCTTGAGCCTTTTTCTGCGCGATTTCGGCGCATTTAATGACCCTGGCTAACTCATTTGGTGAATGCTACACCTAACCAAAAGAAATAGATTAATACGTAGGAGTTTAGTATATTTCAAATAAATTTTTTTTGGTTAGTAATTGTTACATTACTAACATTGTTAAATGATCGATAATAAAGCATGGTTTCGTTAACAATTTCCTAGTGATTTCTTCCTAAAACATATCCTTTAAATTTCTTAAGTAAACAATCCATTTTTTGAAGTGAAACTTCTTTATCGAGGTTGGAAAAAAATTTAGTGTAACATTTTTTCGTTACGCGTCACATTTTTCGGTTACGCGCCATGTTGCTTTTTGAAGTCAAACTTCTTTATCGGCGTTGGAATGAAACTTCTTTATCGACGTATGGGAGAAATTTTGTAGCAAATCGTCACGTTTTTCAATGATAGTAATAATTCTAATACAATTAATGAAATTCTATAATAATCTTCGTAGTAATAAGGTAAAATGAAATATTTGTATTCATGTCTATGATAATAAAAGCCTTTTGTTAAACTTTATCTAATTTAACGAATTTCTGTAAAGTTGCATATAGTAGATCATTTTTCGAAAAATAAGATCATAAAGAAGTTTCACTTCTTACGTGTGTACACCTAGTACACGCACAATTTATTTTATATAATGTATGTTACATAAAAGTTTTAGGTTAGGCTTAGGTGGTTTGGCTAAATGGATTAATGAGAAGCAGTTAACAAGTATATAATACAAGGCAACCATGGATGGTATTGCCTGGCCAGGCCTTGTTGTACATACCTGGACCCAAAACCAGGACGTAGAAGGGATAAGTTAGAAGTAGTATAACCGACGAGCATGCATGGTGAATGTCATGTAAGTGGATGAAGCTAGGTATGTCAGGACCATAGCAAGTGGAGATCCGTGGTCTCTGCCCACCCCTTCCGGAAAAGGCGTGATAATATAAATAATGAAGTAGAATAAATTTATACTACCTTAGCTCCACAAGCAAGAAGAATCCTTATTTCATCCAGTGGCACCATGCGAATTATAGAGTCGGCTAGCTCGCGTTGGAGCGACTTGTCTGTTATCACCTCAGAAGGCATTTTCACTGAAAAGACGAAAATAACTATAAATATGTCAACAATGTTGATTTTTCACGACACAACAATGAGTCTGTTTAATTTTATGTTCAATACAAGTTAGTGAGGCCCTCTGCGCCTACTAACCATAATTAATTATTGTTTGTACCATTCAAGATCAACAACATGACGTTAATAATTATTTTGCATGCATTAATCGAACATTAATTATGAGAAACAGTTTAACAACGGAAATTATTATCGTATCGTTCGTAGCACTCTTACTGCGTAGACCGTAGCAGACATGATGTAGCTATATTCGTAGAGGTTACGGCGTAGATGCCTCAAGGTAGCGTCGTAGGGACGGATTAGATTTCCGTAGGACGACACTTCTTTACAAGTATATTGCTACTAATTTGGACACGTTAGCCCCTTCACTTCCATCGGACAAGCACAAAAGCTGGCGGAACATAATAAACAGCTCGAATATAAGGGTCTTTCCTCCAACTATGATTTTCTTTCCTTTGGAGTAGAGACTCTTGGGTCGTGGGGTTCAAGTGCACAGGCGCTTAAAGATTTAAGTTGGCACCGAACAACATTAAAGGTTCACTACCACACTAACTTTTTAAATTTGTTTAAATTTTCTAAATGTCAAATATTAATTATTATTTTTTTGTACAACTGTGTGTTGGATATAATTATAAATGTTTTTTATTTTTTAGTTATTTACTTTAAACAGCTCGGTTTACGAACAAAGGAAATTGTTTATTTACAACGCCTTTACGCCGAAACATTTAAGAGACCTTGATAAAAGTTATTTCGAAATCGTCGTTTTGAAATACGACAAGATTTTTCTACTGAAATTCTAAAATATTTGTTTTGTTTTTGAAGTTATACTTCTTAAGGCGCGTTATGAAAAATTTATGAGAGTGAAATTTTACAATGCGCGCGCACCCGTGACACAAAATTAGGAGTGTGATTATAGCGTGCGCGAGCGAGATAGGAATAAGACAATCTACAAGTAAAAAGAAATAGAATATGCGTGAAGTTCGTATGCCAACAATTTTGAATGACCATAATCACATTTGTCATTTACCTTTTAAACAAATAAAGGAGTTTTAATTATTTTTTCAATGAAATTTAGCGATGCTTTTTGAATTATAATCAGAAGTGATTTAAATTGAATATTTAAACCAATACTAATTAATATTTGTGAAAAAACTGTGCTCATCAACCTTCCTAAGTGCTTCAATACAATTGAGGTTAACTATCCGTATGTATTATTATTATTATCGAGTAATGTTTTGATTAAAAAATTAACCACATTGTTTAATCAAAACATGTAATTTTTCTGATTTTATCTAGCAAATATAAGGAAAAGAGACAAAAAACAATTGATGAATCAGTGTAACTGCACTAAATTGAATACAAAAAAAGAGTTTTCATCTTATCGCTGTGAAACATCAAAAACTGGAGGTGGAACAAAGCCAAACTATTTTTAATATTACCAAAGAAGTATAACTTCTTACGCGCGTACATAAGTACACGGACCCTTTTTTTTTATGTTACAGGACGCAAACGGGCGGGAAGCTCATCTGATGTTAAGTGATACCGCCGCCCATGGACACTCGGACTGCCAGAAGGCTCACAAGCGCGGTGCCGGCCTTTTAAGAGTTGGTACCAGTTGTGTAACAATAGGGTGGCAGGGCTGGCAAAATGCCACGGACCCCCAACCCAAGTGGGCCCCTGCCCAAGAGATATTATGTTCTATGGATGAATGTGAAGTCTCCAATACGCATTGGGCTAGCGTGGGAACTACATACCATTCTCTCTCGCCTAAGAGAGGCGGCCTATAGCCATTAGTGGGACATTTACAACGTGTAATTGAGTACGCTGAAAATCTCGAAGTTTAGATATTAAAATTAAACTGAGTATAACGTGACGATTTTTACGCCACTGGTTGGTACGCTCTTTTCTTGAAGGGCCCTAAGTCGACTTGTTTCGGAAATAAAGAAAATTAAATGTAGCGTATTTAATATATAGCGTAATTTTGTAATGATTGGTATTCATAGCTTTCACGAACGCGCCTCAGATACACGTGCAATAAAAACAGCACGTGGTAAACAAGCCGTGTTTACAACGCAGTAAGCGTTGCGCGGACTCATGTTCGGACATTGACATATTACACATGATAATTGCGTCGGTAATAAGTTTTTCACGTGTCTACGTCAAATATATTTCGTCGTATAATCCAGGAGCTATCTATACAATAACCATGGATAATAAGTATAGTACGTACTTATAATATATACTATAAAGATTTTGACAGTTCGAACGTATTAATTTTCCATAAAAATTGTATAGACATATGAATTCTACAAATCTTTTATTACAGCCCTGCGATTCTGTAACTCACTTTTCGAACTCTCAGAGAGCTGAAAAGGTGGGAGCTTGTAGTTTATTGTTTATCAGAATGCCAAACCATAAAATGACTGCTTCCCGACTGATTTGAGAGCGACCGCCGATGCGAAAACCGCTGTGTGAGTTCGAAAAGTGAGTTACAGAATCGCAGGGCTGTTACGTTTACGTTACAGAGTGGCGCAGTGCAGACAAAAATGGCGGGATGTGGAGGAGACATTTACCAAAAGAGGGCATATACCAGGGAATGAACAGTGTTATATAGCCTGAAATATAAGGCTTTATTTTAAAAAAATCGATCGAACGGTCGAGATATGAGTAGTAAGTTATATAAATTCGAGTTTAATGCGTCATGTTTTACTGACATTTATTAGATTAAATACATTCTTGGACATAATAGACTAAAATAACATAATCTGAAAACATAAAAGGTAGTGTAGGTATCATAAACATGCCTAAATCATTTTGGGATTCGCGAGGAACAATCGTACTTCATGCTTATGTAAAATATATTTATATGAAATGATAAAATTAAATTTATTTTTAACGTCTAACATCAAAGTGGTATATAGTAAAAATAACATATTATTAATTTAATTCAAAGGAATCAATATAATTACTTCACCTGCGATAAACACTACGCATTCAACGTAAACAGTGCCACGTGGCGCCATCTATTGCACGAAAATAAATCCAAGGTTATCGCCCTCGGCCAATATAATATGACCTCTGTTTAGAAGGGAAGATAAAAGCAACATGTCTTTGTTTATATTGGCATTTTGCCAGTATCATTGTCGGGGAACAAAAGACTATCACGGAGTTTTCAAAGATTTATTGATACTTAAGTGTATCGTCAGTTCATCAGCATCAAATGTCAATAAACACACAGATTTTAATACACGATAAATCAAAATAAGCGACATCTAATGCAAGGCTAATAACTTAATCGATAAAATCTAGACTAAATTCGTAATTTTAACTTTTTTTTTTATATAATAAGAGTCCAACGGGCGGGCGTGTTAAGTGATACCGCCGCCCATGGACACTCACGTTGCCAGAAGGCTTGCGTTGCCACCCTTTCAAGAATTGGTACGCTTTTTTCTTGAAGGACCCTAAGTCGAATTGGTTCGGAAATACTTCAGTGAGCAGCTGGTTCCACAAAGTGGTGGCGCGCGGCAAAAACTGACTTAAAAACCTGCAGTAGTGAAACGACGTATACGGATGGTAACTTAAATAATATTTCTATCACAGTGTTATATTTATGACATGTCTTCTTCATGTCAGTTCCTATACTATAAGAAATAGTTAGTCTTTTTGTACATATTTTTATCTATTACTGTTTCATGTTGTTGCTTTTTCTTTGTATGTATTGTTTTGTATGCGATATAAATATAAATAGTTACCACATTGTTGGATTAATCTGTAATGGTAGCTTGTTAAATAAATAAATAACATTGATCTAATAAAAAAAAATTGTTAAAATTAATTCGCTTACATCGGTCATTGGAATTTAGGTATGTCAAAAATGCAAATCTAATCTAAAGTTTGCATAGTTCCCAGGTAATTTACCTCATTGTTAAATTTAGGTCACCTTTCGAAACATTACAACTTTAGCTTTGTCTGTTTTCTAAGTTTTTTAAAAGCTTACGGCTTTAAAAACGTGTTTAGTTTTATAAGTTTGTGACATTCTAGGAAATAATGTACACTGGATATGTACCACTATAAATTTTTGTGTAACGATATAAAGAATTTTTGAAAATGATAAATTGAATTTGGTCATTGGAAACAGCCCTGCGATTCTGTAACTCACTTTTCGAACTCACACAGCGGTTTTCGCATCGGCGGTCGCTCTCAAATCAGTCGTGAAGCAGTCATTTTATGATTTGGCATTCTGATAAACAATAAACAACAAGCTCCCACCTTTTCGAAAAGTGAGTTACAGAATCGCAGGGCTGGTGATAATCACGTTGACTGCAAATGGCGTAGCGCCAAACTGTCATAGTTTAATTTGATTTCTTTAAGTCTCATTTAGGATTTAAATATATATTGAATAATCTGGTTTCAAGTCAACACACGATTGGTAAACATTATTTTTAACACACAATTAAATCCTTTTGTCTGAAATGCGCCATTGTATTTCACCACCTGTAATTCCTCCGTTACATTCTTAATCGATGACAGACATTTGTCCCGATTCCAATACATAAACAATGTCTTCTGTTTACTACGTCAAGCTTATGCCGGCCATACACACTACGGTCTACCGGAGAGGTAATCTGTGCAGGTATCTTATCTTATCTTAAAGCGCTCAAAATGTTCGCACTATATCTAAAAATATTGAATAAGAATATTTTTGTTTATATGTATTATTTGTGGGTAGTTCAAATATACCTAGGATTTGTGGATGAATATTTACAACATAGCTCTTAGCTTTTCCAGAAAATTTTTGGTTGACACCTATTTTATGAACGTCAGTTATGTTTGCAAACTCCCTTCACCACGAGGGTACAATCACAAAGCTGGGTGACATGAACTGGGGTCTTGTTTCTTTATGGATTCGTCCAGTAGTGCGATAATAGAAATTGGAGTTTCTATACAATTATGTT